TATATATATATATATATATATATATATATATATATATATATATATATATATATATATATATATATATATATATATATATATATATATATATATATATATATATATATTTCATGTAATTCCACAATACGTGGATAAGATAAATCTTGATAAAATGATTTTATCAAGATATATATATATATATATATATATATATATATATATATATATATATATATATATATATATATATATATATATATATATATATATATATATATATATATATATATATATATATATATACACACACACACACACACACACACACACACAGTCAACCCTCGCTTTACGTGGTCCCACTTTACGTGTTTTCACGTTTACGCGGTACCCTGCCGAACACGGAATGCTCACTTTCCGCGGTGTGTGTACCCTTTTACGCGGAGAGCGGCGTTAGCAGGGTGCGCACAAGGTCGCCCAGTCATCAAAACATTACCGAGTTCTTCACCCGCCACCCACCACAGCCGGCCCAAGTCAGTGATAGTGATAGTGAGGATATGGACTTATATGGACTTTGAGGGGCATGACAAAGAGGCCCTGCAAGCCTCTGTGGTGGATAGTGATACAATTGATACAAGTGATACAGGTGAGGGCCAATAATCTACCCTCTGCCTCGGAACCAACCCCCCATGCCCGTGTGCCCAACCATCTTTTTTACTAATGTAAGTGTTAAAAAACCTAATATTATTGATATTTCTCTTAATTATTAATTGCGTGTGCATCCCATCATAAAATTAAGAAGTTATTTTTACTACAACGTAGGTATTGTGTCTGAAAAAGTGGAGTTTGGGGGTCGGCCCAGTTTCTGTTTCAATTAATCCCGTATGGTCTGTTGTTCACTTTACGCGGGCCTCCGTGGGTTCAATTGACCACGTAAAGCAGGGTTACACGATATATATATATATATATATATATATATATATATATATATATATATATATATATATATATATATATATATATATATATATATATATATATATATATATATATATATATATATATATATATATATATATATATATATATATATATATATATATATATATATATATATATATATATATATATATATATATATATGTATGTATGTATATATGATTACAAAATAGTGATGTAGTAATTTCTATGAGTTTGTAAATTTCCAATATTTTGGACAATTTAATTTGGTCTGTATAAAGGGATTATCATGGTGATAATCTTAATACACCCTATAGATGAATAACATCATCACTAACCTAACTTCACCTAACCTAACATAACTTTAAATCATTTTATTATAGTTTAGGTATACTGTACATGTACAGTAATATGTCCGTTAGCTGGAATCCCCCTTAACCGGATCTCTCTGACAGCTGGAATTGAATTTTTTTGGGAAAATCGTTCCCAAAGCCGGAATTTTCCGGAAATTATGAGAAATTTTTTCCGGTACCGGGAAAATTCTGGGGATGGGGGATATTTTCCGGGTTCGAGAGATGATGTACTGTGCATTTTCTGGGAGTTCCAAGAACATTTTTCCGTTACCTGGAATATTCTGGAAAATTCTGGGGATGGGGGGTTTTTCCGGCTTGAGAGTCGTCTCGTTACCCGGAAATCTCTCATTCTCGGAAGCGCTCGACACCAATTATTCCGGCTAACGGAGATATCACTTATGATACAATACTGTAAACAATGTCTTATAGGATTGCTGTAAAAGAAAATTTTATAATTTGTGTGAAATAATTTCCATCAAATAATATAAAAAAAAGTTATACTTATTTGTCCAAAATGTCAGTTGGATTTTAAGGTTAAATCTGTTAATTATCTGTTTTAAGAGTTATTATTTATGGATATGGACAGATTTTTTTGTGACTTATGAGAGACAGCCACCAATCTTTATCTGGAAGGTAATTGCTACTTTCTTATCAAAGCTGACAGTATACGGTCGATGGAAGTCTGTCTCCCTGGAGACAAGATCAAATAAGAGGAGTTTGAAACATATTTCAATATAACAGTATTTTTTCTACATACTTTGAAGTACCATTGTGCAACATTTTCTCAGAACAACTTCCTGAAACAGATAAATACCTGTAATGATTTCTAAAGTATTTATGGTCACCAACTCTTCACTATGAGGACAAAGTATAATGGACTTGTAAGACGTATTACTAGCAGTTGAGATCAACCTAAATTTTGTAAACCTCCCATATTACAACTATCGTCCCATAAAGGAGTATTTGAGGCACAGAAATATTATGATAACTGTCCTAGATATTGTCAATTTCATCCGCTCATATGGGAAAACCCAGTTCAAAAGTTTTATTGAAGAACTGGAGCTTGAAGATAAGCCCAATGACTTCTCTTTCTACTGCATTGTGAGGTGGTTGTCAACCAGCAACGTCTTGAATAAGTTTGTAGATCAGTTGGAGACTATCACTACTTTTCTTGAAGAAAAGAACAGATGTTCTCCTCAACTGGAAAATGATGAATGGTTGCAAGATCTGATGTTCCTTACTGATATAATGAAACGTCTACAAACTTTCAACTTGGCACTCCAGGGGAAGGATAAAATTGTTTCTGATCTTACTCAGACAATTTTCAGCTTCCAGAATAAAATAAAAGTTCTTCAAAGAGACATGCTGTCAAGAAACTACAACCACTTCCCCAATCTCAAAAGGAGAGTAAATACATTCCCTGATATTGAAATAAATGACCACAAACTGGAAGAATACAAAAATTAATTACAAGGACTGCTTGATAATTTCCTAGCCATGTTTGATGACTTGCAGAGCTTGAAACCCTGCTTTACCTTTCTTGTAAGCCCATTCATGGTTGTTGTGATCAATGATGGTTGTTCGATTCTCAAACTTCTGGTTATGAATTCATCTGCTGTGAAAATGGAACTACAGTAATGGAATTTCAGGAGGACCTGGGTCTAATGATGATTCATAAATCTCAGTCTACAAACAAGTTCTGAAAGCAAGTTCCAGAAACAAAATATCCTGAACTCAAGAAAAAAATTAGTGTACAACTCATCTCAATTTTCAGCACAACATACTGCTGCGAATCACTGTACTCCGTAATGAAGTCAAAACATCGTGCATTCCTTACAAATCGACACCTGACAGAGTTAATTTGTACAGCCTTCGCAACATCTGCCAGATTTTCAAAGACTCACAGCTAAGATGGACTCGCAAGACCTCTTCTAGTAGCAAATAGCCTGATAATTGTAGCAGTATCTCTTTTCTTCATAAATAACTTTATGATAATGCCGTAGCTTTGTACGGTGGTATCTGATTCAAATATCTCTTAATTTTATTGGTTTGCTTGTTTTTCTTTTACACACACACACACTCATGCTCACATTTATCATGTGTACTGTATTACATCATTACTAGTGCTATTACTGATAACCAGTGAGCCCTCATATATTGCTCATACACTCGAGGTAAGAAAGTGCGGTCGCGAATCCATCTCTTGGAACCAGGTTAATCTGTATTTACCTCTTATTGAGTTGCCTCTTGTAGTGTTGCATTTTCCAGGAATGCATCTATATCGCTATAAGAGGTATGCAAAAATTTAATAGTAACAAAGACCTTCCATGCAACACTTTTTATTTTTATTTTAGGGGGGCATAAGACAGAAATTACTGCTTCTGAATGGGCCTTTCTCATAAGATAAATGTACCAGTACTTCTCGCATAACCCAACATGACACATGCCTTGAAAAGACATTCTTATTCACTTGTCTTCATCAGAAGCATAAAGAACCCCAAATTGAAGAATAGAAACCATGGGTCATCTACTTCAGTCTATCAAGGGATACCTCTCTTATGATATAAGCAACCCTCAATGTTATAATGGGGGTTTATAATGCAAGTCTCTTGGTACAGCATCTTTCTTTCCACTCTCTGTGCTGACTGGCTTGGTTCTAATGAATCACATCTTATGTTACCTTCCAGCTTAGAAAAATATCCCGATATATTTTGAAGTCCCATTTTATCCCCAAGATCCTTTTACTCGGTACAAGGAGTGTGTCAGCTGAGTTTGTGAATCATTAACGACAACTGATGAGGTTCAGAGCATATGAGGTGGTTACTGGATGATGCACTGACCCTGGGTCATTAATGTTGCATCAGCACAGTTTACAGTAGTCTTCATTCATCAGCAGCTGATAGCAGAATGATATAATTCCTCTGTAATGTTTTTAACTAATCTTTAATTATATAGTAAAGGTTAACATCAATGAAGAACTATAAGAGTGAATGCATGAAGATAGAAATCATAAAGCCTGGCATAAAATCACTTTAAATAAGGTGCACCATTAATAATAGATTACATTAAGATACAAGTGTATTTTTATTTTTTCTTAAGTGGTAAACTTGAATACAGTGTTATTTTATGTGTCATCACAACACATGCATGAGAGAATTATGAACTTTTAAATCCTGAGATACAAAAATTCTCTCTCAACTTGCAACTATTATTCTGACTAAATTATACATAAGGGTAAAGGATAATGCAGTATTGTTTCACCCATTCTTATGAGAACTGTTGCCATACCCCTCTTGTAGGTATTATTAATGAGACAATCTCTCTCTCAACATATTCTTTACTCAGAATAAGTAAAAAAAAAATGGTAATTTGATTTGAGAGTAAGTGCTAAAGACCACTAAAGATTTTTAAGACCCCGGTTCAGGGGTTACAAGAGGCAGGGAGAGATATCATACATTAAACCATGCTTCTAGCTGACCACTCTGCCATGTGTCAGAGCTGAGTTGATATGTTATACTGCATTGTAATAGATGACATCGAAGAAGCTAGTTTAGCTTATATCAGGTAAAAGAATTACCGTGTCCTTCACAAGTATGTAAGGTTTTATATCATATAACCTTCCAAATTTACTGCATTATCTCTGAAATATAAATTATCTGATGACCACACATATTTTCCCAAAATGTTTACTCATTTACTAATTTTTACCAGGACGTATGTCAAGTCGAGATTCCCGATTGTCTGGTTGCTCAGATGCAGATAATGAATCAGATCGTGCGTCTGTCAACACCTTGAGCTTCAAGGCTCCAAAATTGGCCATTACTGAATCTACCAATCATGGCTCCATGTACCTAAAAATGGGTGCAGTATGTAAGTTCATATACTTTTAATATTTCAGATGCATGAAAGAAGCCATGTCCTTGAGAATGGTAAGAGTAAATCACTGTCTTTCTGTACCTTTCTTGTCTACAACCAATGGATTAATCTTTATCAGTGGTCCACCTTGCAGATATATTTATGATGATGGTGCCAATTTGGATGCTACACTTACTGAACTGCATAACAAATTGGTTGGGTTTCATTACTTATACTGTATGGAGTCTGTATTGTATGGCTTGGTAACAGTAATATTCATTTGTGTACTGGATGATACCCGGAGTGTTGCCATGTGCCAATTTATTTTATTTATTTAGATTAATTAACAAAAGATATTTATATTTTTTCAGGCAGTTTGTTACAAAATTTTACACATTTGGTCAGTCTATTAATTTTTATATTTACTTGTGCAAAAGAAGTTATGCTCATACTTGTCTTAGATGAGTGGGCCAAGCTTAGTTTAAAACCCTGGTACAATGATGATTGGGTTAGGTTAATTCTTTTGGGTAACTTTATAGCTACCAAAATGATGGATAGGTTAAAATCTGTGGCTAAATGTGCAGCTTTTTCACTGTTAGTTAAGCTAAATATGGTAAATGACTGCCACAACATATTTTAGTTGTGTAAATGTCATTAAAAGGTTAATGCGTCAACATGAACACAAACCTGGTGAGCAAATACTGGTACAGGTTGACTTGACATCTGCGGTTTTGAATATTCCCAGTGACCTATAATGTATACCAGTTTCACATCTGTAGTGGAGCTTTAACAATTTGCTGTCTAGATCACAAGCAGTGTGAAGTGGTTCATTAACAGATCTATAATAAACTGCAGCACATAATGCTTATAACCATAAACACAATTGTATGAGAAACTTGACCAAGGAAATAAAACACTTGTAGAGAACATTTCCAAAACATACTTACAGAAAACCGAGCATCAAAGATTTTCACCTGTAACTGTAGTGGAGTTTATGGTTATTGTTGTCTCTCTTTCACTCTTCTTTTGCCTAAAGTAAGCATGACTAAAAAGCGTAACTTAACCTAATATCTATATCCTTTGAATTATTGAAGATCGAGTTACTTGTATCCGGAAAAATTCCGGGGATGGGGGATTTTTTTTTAGTTTGAGAGATGAAATTATGTGTCATTCTGGAAAATTCCAAGTAAATTCTGATACCCGGAAAAATACTGGACATGGGGATTTTTCCAGGTTGAGAGAGTCATCTCGTTACCCGAAAATTTCTCATTCCCGGAAGTGCTCTGCACCAATTGTTCTGGCTAATGGAGATATCACTTACATATTTTTATAATATTCTACTAAAGTAACCAAGATGTTCATTATCTTAGCACTCCTCCCAACAGTATAGCATTCTACTTTTGATCAGATATAATGTCACTGCTGTGTAGGTTTAACTATCATGAATTTTTTTTTACCAAACTGAAGTGCGAAGTTCATATCAGTTAATGATTATGTTCTTTCATAGTAAGATTAATATAATAAAACATATTATTGCTATACCCACAGTGTTTGGCATTGGGAGTATGATCTACAGTGGGCTTGAAGTTGGGCAATACTTTGAGCTAAAACCTGATGATGACTGTGCAAACATACTTCTTGTTATATCTCCGGCGGCACGTATGCTCTTCACATTCATCCAGATGTATTTCATCTTCCTTAACTCAAGGGTTTGTTATTCATTTGTTTTGTAATATGGATACAGAGTGTATTTTTTCATGTCCTCATGTTATGAAATGAAATGATTCATGATGAACTTTCTCCACAATGGACTTTCATACTGCATTACTTCTGCTCCCAGAAAGATGAGTTGTAATGTAGAGATGATTACAATTATATTTCTGGAAGTGGGGAACGACCCTCGTTAATATGACCAAAAATGAGGCTCTGGGTTAGTCAAATTACCAAAAAATCCAAAGTAACCGACTTCAGAATATTTTGGCATTATTCAACAATTTCTGAATTTTTTTGAGCGATTATTTGTTCGTTTCTGTTCAGTTTTTGCACCTTGCATTGGCTGCCACATAAAATAATCTATTTATAATTACTATACAGTCAACCCTCACTTTACGCGGTTAATGTAACCCACAGGGTACCGCGGAAAGTGAATAACATAACATATGGGATTAAATGAAATAGAGACCAGCTGACCCCCAAACTCCACTTTTTCCAACACAATACCTATGTTCTAGTAAAAATAACATCTTAATTTTATGATGGTACATGCACACAATTAATACTTAAGAGAAATAGAGAAATACAGTCGCCAAGTTAATGTCCATTCAAATAATGGACTCAACTCCCTCCCCCTCTTCTCACACTACACTCGCTGGCTCTTCCCTCTCTGAGAAATTTTGGGGGGAAAACCAGGTATAGTAATAAATAATACCTCAAACTAAAGTTAGGATAATATAATTGACATTGCTGGATTCCTTGTAAGACCAGGAATATTTTGAATATAAATTTCATATATTTTGCACAAAAGATACCATATTTACTCAGAGTAAACATTATATCTAAAATTTGTATGTCTAATGCAAAATCTATGATGTTTATATTCAAAATGATCATCAAATTGTAAGAATTCCAGCAATGTAAATTATATTCTGGCCGGGTAATTTGTATGAATTTTATGAGCTAAAACAAATATCTTCAGTTAATAAAAAAAAAATATTCTTCACGACACTATCTGTCAATCAAAGTACCCCACCTTGCCTCCCCCCCTCTTCCAACTGCGCCAGATGGTCCGTCCCAACCCTCCCTTCAAGAGAAAGGTTAGGTGAAAAAACTAGATTTTAACATTTAGTATTAAATAATACCTCAGATTAAAGTTAGGATAATATAATTGGCATTGCTGTATTCCTTGTAAAACCAGGAATATTTTGAATATAAATGTCATATATTTTGCACAAAAGATAACATATTTACTCAGAGTAAACATTATATCTAAAATTTGTATGTCTAATGCAAAATATATGATGTTTATATTCAAAATGATTATCAAATTGTAAGAATTCCAGCAATGTAAATTATATTCTGGCCGGGTAATTTGTATGAATTTTATGAGCTTATATTCTGGCCGGGTAATTTGTATGAATTTTATAAGCTAAAACAAATATCTTCAGTTAATAAAAAAAAAAATATTCTTCACACGTGCCAGGTGGTCGGTCGCCGGTCCCTCCCTCCCTCCCACCCCCCACCAACCCTCCCTACCAGATGAATGTGTGGGAATACCAGACTGTTTACCTTTTTAGTAATAAATAATAAATCAGACTAAAGTTAGGATAATATAATTGACATTGCTGGATTCCTTGTAAGACCCAGGAATATTTTGAAATATATTTATATCTTGCACAAAAGATAACATATTTACTCAAGAGTAAACATTATATCTAAAATTTGTATGTCTAATGCAAAATCTATGATGTTTATATTCAAAATGATCATCAAATTGTAAGAATTCCAGCAATGTAAATTATATTCTGGCCGGATAATTTGTATGAATTTTATGAGCTAAATAAAAAAATTATACTTCACCCGCGTAACGGGGTACACCCACCGCGGAATGTGAGCATCCTGGGTTCTGGCAGGGCACCGTGTAAATGGAAACGCGGAATGTGGGACCGCGTAAAGTGAGGGTTGACTGTATAAACAAAACTATTTTCTAAATGTATATCCAGTAATAATAAAGTAAATAATGCAGTAATAAATATAACACTGAGGTGAGCTGACGATGCGAGGGGTAAGGTGATGAGACAGGAGATGAAGTGATGTCTGAAGGCACCTACATAACACACACATTAACAGCATTACTAAACCATTGTCTTTTAACATTTTAATTTCTAATTTCTATTTTAAAATTAATTGATACATGATGGCTCGATTTACCTACGTTTGTACTTGGACGACTGATCAGTGAATAAACCAGGACATATGGAGACACATCATATACTGCAATAATATTTATTAAGTTCTGATAAATACAGTACAGTATAGTCTGGATTTACGCGGATTTTGTTTACGCGTTTGGTCATTTACGCGGTGCCTTGCCAGAATGAAATGTTTTAATTACGCGGGAAGTGGCGCGGGCAGGGTGCGCACAAGGTCGCCCAGTCATCAAAACATTACCGAGTTCTTCACCTGCCACCCACCACAGCCGGCCCAAGTCAGTGATAGTGATAGTGAGGATATGGACTTTGAGGGCTTTGACAAAGAGGCCCTGCAAGCCTTTGTGGTGGATAGTGATACAATTGATACAAGTGATACAGGTGAGGGCCAATAATCTACCCTCTGCCTCGGAACCAACCCCCCATCCTTGTGTGCTCAGCCATCTTTTCTACTAACGTAAGTGTTAAAAAACCTAATATTATTGATATTTCTCTTAAATATTAATTGTGTGTGCATACCATCATAAAATTAAGATGTTATTTTTACTACAACGTACGTATTGTGTCGGAAAAAGTGTAGTTTGGGGGTCGGCCCAGTCTCTATTTCAATTAATCCCATATGTTCTGTTATTTCGTTTACGTGTTTCTCGTTTTATGCGGACCTCCACGGGTTCAATTGACCGTGTAAATGCAGACTATACTGTACAGTACTTCGTTATTAAAGCAGAATTTTAAATACACTCAGTCTCATACACATGTCTAGATACAGGCTTTTTATCTAAGATGGAATTATGTAAAGCATTTTAGAATCACAGCTTCTTTGAAATTCAATTTAAGTACGTACAGTTATATGCAAAGAGCAACTGACATCTAACATAAAGGTGGGGGAGAAAAGGGGATGCGATGGACGAGGGAAGGATAAGAGGGTAGGCTAGGTGAGGTGGGTGATCAAGGTGCCAATGGACATAAAAATATCAAAGGGAAAGTCGGCTGTCATGGCCACTGCCACCTGTCCTGACCTGACATCACCTCACGAGACCTTTAGGTATATAACCGCTTGATGTCTCGCCACACCATACCCTTCATGGCTCCACCCACACAACTTTAATTAATTAATTTAAAAATTTATAATTAGTTTGCATGTAACAAGTAATGATTTTTGTTTCTTTCAATTGTATTGGAGTAAAAGTATTAGAAAACCATACTTAAGTAAAAGTACTGCAAAATTTGAGTACTTTTTAAAAAGTAAATACCCAGAAATATTACTTGTACAGTACTTAAGTAAATTTATTTAATTACTTCACAACTCTGGTTGTTATAAAGAAATCCTGGGTTGCCAAGCGGGAGAAGGTGAGTTGCCCTCTCCTCCGCCACCTCCTCTCCTGGGCTACTCACCCAAACATAGTTTTGTACAGTACTGTATCTTAATATACAGTAATTCATATTCTATTCCTGTAATTCATTCATCTTAATCTATTTCATAAGATATTCCTTTAATAATAATTTAATTTTAAGAACCGCCCAATTATTTCATATTCATTCCAAATTCAAATCACTTAATGTAATTAATATTTTTTTTTAAACTATGAATTAAGCCAGAATACGAATTACAATGATCCGAATTAACGTGACTCCAGTTACAGGTAAAATCTTGACATAATTTGTAACAACACACCAGATTAACTTATTTTATGAGAAAAGAAGAACTAGAATAACGAAATACAGTACTGTACAGTAAATGAAAGTAAAAAATAAGTCATCAGATAAAGGTATTTGGTTGTAGGCAACTATCAAACAGGAAGGTACTACTGCCTGGGAAGATATTGGCAGCATAATGCATAGTCCAATGTGCCTGGGTGGGCTAATCCCAGTAATTAATATTGGCATATTTTGTCTTTCGTCTTTCATAACTAACTCGAGTTAATCATAAGAGATGTGTTGCAGGTGACGAGGGTGTACTTATAATTTTACATGGATGAGCCACATTGTATACAAAAGAGAATATTTAACCTTATACACTATAGTATTATTGTCAAACTTCATCCCAGACTGTGAGTGAACAATTCTTCATTAATAAGGCCTGACTAATATTATTTCTATACTCCCTTGTAGATGAAATATAAACATTATTAATTACCAAAACTCTTCTTTCAGGTTGCCATTAGTCGTCACCGAATTATTGCAAGATTTGGCTTGATGCACATGATTGGAACTAATCTCTGTATATGGCTGAATGTCCTGGTTCAAGAAACTAAGCATGAAATCATAAATCTGACTCTTGGTCATGGTCATCATGGAGGAGGTAAGAAAGTGACAGTCTAATAAGAAGTACAATGATGGAGGCATGATGCTGTGTGTTAAGGTTTTAAAAGATTACTATCATACAGAATTATCCTTAACCATTCCCCATAACTAAGCTTCATACTACAACCACTCGCACACATTAGAGGCATCTGTATTAAAAATAAGAGAATAAAATCTCAGAATTGCTTCTCTAACCATGCATCTATTAAAATACATAATATTTTTTTCACCACCCTTTCCATAATGACACTCGGTTTTCTCTAACTGTAATTTTGTTTCTCTTTTGATTGACTTATTTTGCTTCTATTGAGAAAGGAAAATTATATCTTTTTATAGACTGTCCATTATATAATTTAGATAATCTAGCTAACATGAACATTAAGTGGACGTACCTAACTTCTTAATCTAATGACATTGTTAGTCTTTCCATGAATAAGATTAAGAAATTTTAGAAAATATATACAGTAGTGTCTTGTCTTTGCTCTTTGTCTTTAATTTGAAAAGAATTTGCTGTTGTTTTGTCCCAGTATATTTCAATGGTTAGAATGATCTACTGACAATTTACCCCCATTCAGATTAAACTTTTCACAAGACTGTTTCATTAACTATGAATGCTGGAGCAGCAAAATAAGTAGTAATCTACTATATATATATTTTTCCATTACCGGAAAATGAGTATTAATAATGATTATTTCATTATACATGGAAGGACTGCCAATATCTGTGGTTCTTAAACAGCTAATAATCATAACCATCTAGCTTATAAACTCACTATGCACTAATTGTTATACTGTGTGTGTGTGTGCGTGCGTGTATATGTTGCTTTCAATAATTATCTAAAAGAACTCCCTTTGTTTCTTCAGACATTTCTAATATCATTAACTGCAGTGTGACCTTTGTATAGCTGGTATGGGACATGACCAGTGAGACAACTCTCACTTTCCTGGATAGTGACTGTAGGCTTTAAATTACCCTGTAATTTGAGATGAAGATAGATCTTGATAGCCAGGCCTGATGAAATAATATTGAAATGTTTAGTCAAAACACATCTATATGCAAGCCAAAGACACCTTAGGTAGGAACCATCTGCACTTATCAGACCATTAATAAAAAAAAAATAAGACCATGTAAGCATAGGTCGAGAAACCCGAGTTTGTATCACCCGTATATTTTACGGTTAATGTCTAAAGAAGTACTTATGTGAAAATACACTATTGTATGTGTAGATGTTAAAGTTAGTGTAGCAGTTGCCACAGTATGCATCAAGAAACAGAAAATATTGAGTCAATCATAAAGATACCTACCAGGGTAGTTTGAGATGATTTCATCAGTACCCAGCTGGCTTCATGTTACAAGCAGAGATGGCTTTCTCTTTAACCTAATTTTGTATTGTACTGTGAATAGGTTTACCACATATACTCATGTATAAACTGATCTCATATATAGTTTGACCCCTAATGTTTTGCTAAAATATCCACAGTTTTTCATATATCTCTTGTACAATGCGACTCTAGCTTTTGAAAAATATTAGGTATAATCCTTGACATATTTTATAGCAAGACACCAGATTCACACCAATGCATCTTGACCATGACCACCACCACAATACCTGACACTATGAACAGTGTTACCAGCTCTGAAACTAAATTGCTGTCATTTACCAACTTAAAATGGTAGGCATATAAACAGCACTAATGAAAGCATATAAATAGCAATGATGAAAATATATATATATATATATATATATATATATATATATATATATATATATATATATATATATATATATATATATATATATATATATATATATATATATATATATATATATATATATATATAAAATGACACACCTTCAAGTTAGTGTACATACTATTGTATTGTCAAAATCTCAGGGATGCTCACCATTTCAATGCAGCCCCCAACCGGGATGCAGCCTCTCTGCCTCCCTTCAGTGCTCAGTGCAGTGGGAGGTGTGCAGTATAATAATAGTAAGATACGTCTTTAGGGCCTCGGAGTATGCTAGGGTTACATTCCTGGGATCGGGATCCCTGCATAAGTGTGAATTCGCTTATATTCGGGTCCCTCCTGTATAGGTATAACCCTTTTTTCATACCATGGTGATGGGCACGCAACTTCAGAATTTGATCTGCCGCTCCTTATCTTGACTTTTTCTTAAATAGCTCTTACAGTACAATATGTGCTTTTTTATTTTCCTCACTCACCACCACCATGAGCACTGCCACTAATTTTCACCTTAGGAGCCATGATTGTAGTAAAATTCACCAATAAAGAAAAAAATTACCCAGGCAAATGCCTGGGAGATGTTCACTTAACCAGTGCAGTAGAAAGAAGGATGCCAGAGTTATGTTATGGTTATTTTTTAACTTGTAATTTTGAGTAGATATAATGTACTTAATTTTCTACAATTTATTTTACTGTTACAGTACATGTACACACAATCTTTCATACAAAATGTGCAAAAAAAAAAATTATCACAAGGTCAAAAACATAAAGGGAATAAACATATCTGTGCACAGGAGTTAGCACACAAATCATGGGAGGGGAAAGGGGGAGTATGTGGGGAATCTCAGCTGTTCATGCTCCCCTGTGTCTTACGTGTAGTAAAATGTTTGCCAAATGGCAATGCCTTTTTTTCTCTCTCTCTCCTGACATTTACTGGTACACTATACATGCGAAACAGTTCAGTCGGGTTATCACCAAGCTGACTCAAGAGACGTGTGTGTATGCCGTGACATCACAAAGGGGGGGGAGGGTGAGGCTGGCCACGGTTACAGTTCACTGCCTCCACACACAAACTTTCACTTCCCACATATACACACCACACTCTTCATTTTTTGTATTTTATAGTTTTATATTATAATTATTTTCTTTATTTCTAAGTCACATTAAAAAAAATGGTTTTATTTTTGGAAAAATAAAATAAAATGAAATAAAAACTTGACATCACTACTGCTGACCCCCCTTCTCTTGCCCCGCTCAGTGTGCTAACTCTCACACACGAAGAAATGTTTATTCTCCTTTACGTTTTTTACCCCATGATTTTATTTATTTATATATTTATTTTTTTTATTATTTTTTTTTTTAACATTTTGTATAAGATTTTGTGTGCTTGTAAATGAGCAAAAAAAGTTGAAGAAAGTTATGTACATCTACCCAAAATTATGAGTTAAAAAAAGAACCATAAGAGCTCACAGCACAGCCTGATAGGGAGAATACTAGGGGGATATGGCTACGGTGAGGAGTCTAACTTAGCAACAATGCTACCAGTGATGGAAACAGATGCAAACAAAGGGAAAATTATTTGTAAATTTTCAATTGTATTGGGTTTTGTAGATTTAAAGTGGCATATATACTGAATGAGGTTCTGCTCTTCATGTAGCAACATAAAGAAAGATTGGAATCTAGTGGTATGATAAGGAAGCCCAGATTAAAGGAACTTAATGGTAAGGTTAGCCTACCGTGAGTATGTACTGTACTGGGTACTTAACATTCACACTGTAAATGACCCATGGAAATGCATGAATTTTAAACCTTGAAAAATATTACTGTATTTGTATATAGTAGTTTGATCCCATACGTTTTGTACAGTATATGCTACATTAAAATTGCCGACATGTTTGTGACTTAAAGATTTGATAGCTATGCATACCCATTGTCACATATACTGTGTTTCCCATATGCTCTAGATAATAAAGCCAGTGTATCTATAATATTTAAAATTTTCAAACTGTCATACTGTCAGCTTTAAAAAGCTACATGCTCTGTCTTTCTATTTAACTAAAGCTCATTTTGTTTAATTCTGATTTCTCTCTCACTTTTGACATGTTTGTAGTGAACTGCACTGCATCTTTTAGTGGTTATCCTATCGACCAGTCAAATGCCATCATTCATCAATACACTACTACTGCACCTGTTTTTTGTTTATGTACAGTATACTGCAGTCGGGGACAGTTTCCTCTTTGTACATATAGCTTTTTGGAGTTAAAAAGGAGGGTGTGTGTCCTTTTACCATCTTTACTGGATGATTAGTCTGATATTCCACACCACCCATAAAGTCTTGTTATGGCTATGGAGGGACATAGACATGCTTGAGCCAACTTATTCTTTAGATCTTCCTTCTATGGTAATTGTGAATGGAAAAGAAAGTGTGGGTAAATGAGTGTGAAACAAGATTTGAGATTCACAAAGCATTTTTCACAGTAATTTAATAAATAAAAAAATTCTACAGTGCAGTTCCGTTTAAACCAGTGATTTACTTAACCTGCACTGACACAGTTTACTAAGAATGTCAACATAATACTCACACCAGTATGAGATTAGTCAGGCACCATCAAGTGAAGTGGGGAACATTTTTACATGTCATATCTTTGCCACTCCTCAGCTGTAAATGGGATTTTACAAGCTCAGTGTGTTCTTATTTCTTCAAATGAACATTCATCTATTAATTGGAGTACTGTATATAACAATGTGATGTTAGGGTGTTTTGGGCTAATGAAATATACAAGTCGGGTGTTATGCCTCTTTTAAGTTTGAATAAATGACATTTTAGTCCAGGAAGATCAAAAGACATGACATAGAGACAGATGTACAAGATAATATGGTGCAACAGTGATGAGGATCTACATAACAAGGAGGACCTGCATGAGTGATCCTGCTGTACAGTGTCATATGTGTATTTAAAGTTTGAAAATGAAGTACGTAATTAGTTGTAAATCCCATTTTATGATCAAAGGAGGGGAGTGAGTGAACTAAACACTAAACACCTTTGCCCTGCAAGTCAGAAAGGAGATGCAGTTTAAAGGTAGTTTCACCTGTCCAGGTAGACAAGTTCAGATAATGAAAAAATTTATGCAAGTCACCCTCATCACCTACTGTATATGGTTATGAGTCATCCAAATTTCATGAATGGGTAGTTTAGCTCAAAGCCTAGTGAGTATTCAGGTACACCTAGTCAAAAAAATTAACTGATTCATTAACTGTCCCATTTTTAAACCTTCCTCAGCTGTAAATAATTCTTTAAGGTATTTAGCGTAAGCAAACTAGTAGGATGCTCTTGCGTTAGTACATAGATAAAAAGATACATCACCACAATAGGAGATATCAAAGGAAGATTTTCTAAGAGGTTTACACAAGTGATTACAGTTCATATTATACAGTAATTCCTTGCCTACTGCAGGGGTTATGTTCTATAATTCTTCCTTGATTAGCAAAACCATGGTTGACAATGGCTGGATCCAGGTCCAGTGAGAAATAAGTGGCTTAGAAAGGGGCTGATCTTGCTATTCTGTAATAGGCATTAAATAATACTGAGACTGCTGTATTGGGCCTTGTCTTGGAGAGTGTTGGCTGCCATTAGACTGTATCCGATCTTTTAATGACACTGAGAGAATGTTTAGTAGTTTTCTCATGTCACTCACTATGAGCCATGGGTCAAAAGAAAACATATTAATTAAACATTAAGATAAATGTAAAATCCTATACAACTGAGTAAAACCTAAGGAACTGTACAAAACACTAAATAGCTAAATAGTCACTCAATAGTGTTCAGGAATATGTAAATTTATATGGTATTCCTTATGTACTGTATCTCTAACAACCTGAGAATGATATAAATTGCATAAGAGAACTGCTCTGCTTAGATTAGATTAAAACTAACTAACTTTTCTTGAAATTTATATGCATCTTTTAATCAAAAATATTGATATTTTTATTAAGAAGTCAAAACCTGTACTTAACAGAGAGCTATTAAAAAAATCATAATAATAATTTTATAAATAATTGAGGAAGAGGTAAGATAGGCCATAAGTACACACAAGACAAATGAGGCTTCAGGAGTTGATTGATTCACTGTGGAACTCTTGAGGGAAAACTAATATATTAAATGGATGACCAGTTTCTAGGTTACTGTATGTATAAAAGAAAGAAGAGTACCAGAAGACTGGCAAAGAGCATGTGTAGTTCCTTGTAAAAAGGAAAAGCTGAAAATAATAAATTAAAAAATAATTGGGTCTGTTGAACTTGAGACATGGAAATAAAAGAAGTGTCAGACAGGGAGCAGCAGAGCATGTGAATGATAGAACATGGTACCAAGTGCTTTATGGGGATGTCATAGGAGCTGAGAGTGACTGGTGATGGTGAGTGAAATGAAATGATGAATATTTTGTTAGATTCTAGCCACCTAAACCATAGCAGTAAAAGGCTTGTAAGAACCAGCACATCATAGCAGGAAAAAGCTTTTGAATACTGTATACAAATGCAAGACATAAAATGTCTATTTATATACCTGTACACACAAGTATACATTACACACATACAGTATAATCATAATGCTTAATGATTTTCATGTACTGGTAGTTGCATTGAAGATGGAGCTATTGTTTTATCTGCTTCTGTAGGGCTTCGTTTCAGTCAGATCTTACTGACTAGACAAGGTACCGCAGACTTTTGTAAACACTTAAGTCTTACTTTACAGGGAATCTATGGGCACAGGTCCTAGCTGCAAGTAAGTGTAAAATGTTACTGTGAGGTAATGGTGCTGATTGCTCTTGGAAGCTTAAAACTGCAGTGTAAAAACCAGGAGGATTGTAATATTCTGATATATGGTACTAATGTATCATCAAATGACTTTAAAGTAAATCCTGTTTCTTTTAAAATTTGTAGATCATAGCTCCTGTTTTTTCCATCTAGCTGCAGTTGGTGAGGCTTGGGGGAATTGTGGTATACTGTAATGTATTATTGCCTGTTTGTTCTGGAGGAAATTAAAACAAAAACAGGTTCATCTCTTGGGGAAAATACTAACTAACCACCATACTAACATCTCTAAATATGTGATTATAACCAAATGAATGCAGTGCACAGTGAACCAAAATTACTGTGCACTGGAAAGAATGAGTTACAGAACTGCTCATAAGAAAATGTGTTTTGTCTGAAATGTCTAAATTACTGTACTGTATTTGTTAATTATTACTGTATGTATGTTATGTGCCAGTTATTGATGTTCTTATGAAATATTCACTAGAGCTGAGTCTAATTAGTTAATGTATTTTATGATATTTGCCTTTAGCACTGTACTGTATATCAATAAATGTATCACAGAGCCACTATATGTGGCTTTCATGGCCTATTGATCACTCAACGAGTAATGTGTACTTCCCTCTCAGTATGTAATGGGTTATCTGTAGTTTGGAGGTACGGATATTGTTCTATTGGATCATTGTGAATACTGCATAAATAGCCACTCACCCCTTGAACCAAGGTTTAGGAAGTAAGCTCCAACCTCAGTCTAGTGGTTGCTTCAAAAGTCTATGAGCTAAAATGTAGCTAAGACAAGCCCTGGAGTTGTTCACTTCAATTAAGCCCATCACTAACAAACTTGGGTTTTGATCATCTTTATTCAGATGTTTCCTACTTTTCTCTGGCTGTAAATGGGATATAAAAGGCCAAGTGGTTTGTTCACTTCTTTTCTCATTTTCATGTGATGGTCTTTATTTACAATAACATTCTTTATATTATTTGATCAGTGTTTTGTGGCAGATAAGTCATCTTGTTCATTTGATATGTTAAGGTTTTATTTGTTAAGGACACTGGTGCAAGCCTGTTGGTGTAAATGCAGGGCTGACTTTTCCCAAGTTAATTTGCTTAAGCATATCTCAGTAGTGTAGTGGTAAGTACTTCGGTGTTCTGTTATACTGGCCTGTGTTCTATCCCATGACACAACAAACTGGATTCCAAGAAAGACTTCTCAAATGACTGAGTAGAAAAAGTCTACACTGTACACATGATCCTACACCAAACTTACAGGATTCTTATCTAATAGGGACTCTCCTTTACGTGAGGGAAAGGTTTTCCATGTCTACATATACCTAGGCATTGTATATCATCTTGGCTTTTCAATTTTATTGAAGCTTTAGCTCACATTGGCTCTGTCACCATTTAAGTAAGTTAAACAACTCATTTACCGCAGTCATATTGACGGTCCTGGGCTTATTTAAGCATAGTTTAAAGGGTTTTAAGTCCTGCATTTGATACTGACAAGTAGAAAATTTTAAGAAATGGAAGGATTGAATAGAGTCAAATGGTATGAGAGAGATGTGGCAAAAACAAAAGTAATGATTGGTATTGTGGTGAAGGACCTGTGATGGAAAGTAGAAAATGGCCAGTGCTGTCTATAAAAAAAGGTGTTGGCAGTAATTCAGTTATGTACAGTGACTGCAATGTGGATAAACAAGAGGTGGAATTGAGTAGATGGCAGACTGCAGGATGTTGTTGACTAAGTATCTTGTATGTGCAGGTACAGTAATCATGTGGCCTCAGCACGGCTGGGAAAGCTCAACATTGGGGATATATCCCTAGATGGTGTTGATGAGTTCTGCTACTTAGGTAACATGATCAGTACTGGAGGTGGTGCTGAAGCTAGTTCAGTTGCAAGAGTCAGAAATGGCTGGAAGAAGTTTAGGGAGCTGTTGCCTTTATTAATAAGGAAAGATGGGAAATGAATGTAGCCAGCATAATATGTGTGTTGGTGTATAGCAGTAAAACCTGCACTTTTAAAGAAGATAATATAAGTAGACAAGCGATTTGAAATGAAAATGGCAATCTGGAAGTGTAAAAATAATGATGTTGAAAGATAGGAAACACTTTTGAGAGCTAAGAGGGCAGCTGTATGTTTAGAGTATGGGTGAGGTTTTATGTAGAGGTAGGCTGAGACGACTCAAGCCTGTGGAGAGAAATTGGATCAAAAGATGCACGAGTTTAAATGTGGATGGGAGGAGAGCTGGGCCAGACCAAGAATGACATGGGGAGAGGTTTTGAGAAAATGACCTCAGAGACAAGAACTTGACAAGTGAGGCTGCAGGAGACTACAGTTTGGAGAGCTACTATTAAGTAATCATGACTAATCCACACAAGTCTGGAAAATAGCCATAAAATGGTGATGATGATGTGAGGTGTAGGGGAGTTAGTAGGTTTTATTTTCAAATGACTTGTGTTTCCTCTTTTAGTTGTGTAAATTCCCTAAATGGAGTACATGTCACATAGCAGTTTGAGCATTGTGCTAGATTTTATTTCAACCAGGCTCCACTAAACTAGAAATCAAGATTAACTGCTCTCTCTCTCAGATCACACAGAGATCCTTCAAAAATACTTGAGAACCTTCCACAGGGTTATAATTGGTCTTTGTGCCTATTGAGTCTTATTTATTAACGAGGTCCAATTTTAGTTGTAAATGAAAATTGGGTCTAAAGGTAAGGTGGTCATTAAGTTTGATACTCCTTAAGACATAAGACCCATTGGATCCCTTGTCCTAATAGGCCTGTAACTTACTGACATTCATACTAAGGCTCAATCTTCTTTTACCCTTGAACATGGATTTGAATAGACTATGGTGCACAGTGAGCCCTTAGTCTTAATGACTCCCAAACTTAATGGTGCATTGAAATTTGGGCTCAAACTCTCTTTTCCATAACTTAGTGGCTTTTGCTACTTGAGCAACATAGCAGTCACTATAAGTTATAAATGGAGGATTGATCCTGAAATCTCATTTTATAACTAACCCCACAGACAGGCAACCTCTATTCCCTCCCTCCTTTCATGGATAAGGAGGAGTAGGCTAGGAAAGCATGATTGAGTGTGAAATTCAATATGACATGCTTGTGTTACACCACAACTTGGCAGCCTCCTACCTTTAATGGTGGCCTTTACTTCCAAACCTCAGTTTTTCAGGGGCTTTTAACAAGTATATTCTTAAGATCATTTGAAGAGTAGATTAAATCAATGAATACTATCTGGCCACTATTGTTTATGGTCCCCTGGATCTGTTCACCTGCACCATTCTAAAATTGAATTTGACAAGCAATCCTCCATTAATTCCCTTCTGTTTCTCTCTGCATTAAATCACCCATTTCATTTAAATATTTACTGAAATTTACAGCCTCATTTTGGCTTTTTTTCTTTACTATCATTTGTCACTACATAAACCTAAATTATACCAAAGGCTGCGGGTTTAGCATTAAACTTGGCTTACAGAACTCTGTCTGAAACTGTTTAATATCCCTTCACACATTTACCCAAATCTGTTTTACAAGAATTCCTGCACCTCTCATGTTTTTCACCACCAAAATAGATGCTATTTGAATTAGTCTATCTTGCTTCACATAATCCTAGAGTGTCCCACTGCAACATTTCCAGCTTCCTCCAAACACTTACCTTACATAAACTCAAAATATGAACCTGGAATGTGAAGACATATTATAATGTCTTCACATTCCAGGATTCCAAGTTCATATTTTGACTTTGTTTACTTATTCTGAAGTATAAGTTCAAGGTTTTGTAATGCTCAAACAGTGCATGTTAGTTTTTGTTGGCACACTGCTCACCAGCATGTGAGGCAGTGCTATTGAACCTCCAGGTGATGATGATCCAACAAGAATGCCCAAAAATAATTGCTAGCATCATCCATGTTACATCCATCAGTCAGACACCTGACTCTTTCTTTGCTAAATTACTGTCTTGTTATTCCATCATTGTCACGGGAATTAATGTATGGTGTGGGAGGATGGTGACCAAAACACACACTGTATTAAACTGTAAACATTTACAGTTGTATACAGAGTTTTTGAGTCCAATAATTCCAGGATTTCTGATACAAATCTCCCAAAGTAACGTGAATATGGTGCACCACCTCTCCCTCGCTTGTGAGTTGCCACAGATCATCCACTCACTCAACCAGGTCAGCTCCCCTCCCCCATTAACACAAACAGCTGTTTTCCCAAATTACAAATACAAACTCTACATGGCATTACTTATTACATGAACACACTTAAAACGATATACAGTACTATAAGGAAAACTAACCCCACTACTGACATTACGTATAAATCTGATTAAATAAATAATAATAACAGTCATCTGAACCATCCCATTACCAAAATGTTTAACTCCCCTTTATCCCAAGATTCCCAACGTGAATCAACACCAGTAAATGTGAGCTTTTAACTCACAATAAAGGTAAATATCTACATTGATCACTAATGGAATTAAGACATATTCTGACCATTTCAGATATTTGACAATCATATATAATGTGTATGTATGTAATGGGCATTATTAGTACATGTTATACAGTACTTTAGGTGGATTAAAGAAACACTTGTCCAAAACTGAGAATTGTACTTGATTATTGGGTATTTTGTAGCAGACAAGACATTGGGAGATCCACTAGCTTAAATTATATTTCTTTTTAAACATTAACTATTAGTAACTGGTTGCTTTGTGCTCTTTCTTTAACACCTTTCTCTCTGACATACCAAAACTGCACTGCATGATGGGTGATAGTGGCCAAGCACTATATCTTCATATTTGTTTCCTTGCTATCTGTTAATAGTCCAATAATTTGCACTAGTATTGCATAGATGCACAACCTTTTCTTTTTGACAGAAAATTCATACCTTTTTCAAAACCTGTCATGCATCTGTATATGTGTTGATGCTATTTCATGCTTCTTTGTACTGTACTTAGTTTTGCCTTTCTGACCAACAAACAAACAATGTACTATGATCTAAAATTGTAAATAAGTCAGTTTGTGCAATTTTGAAAAATATGTTGATAGATCAGATTACCAAAAGGGGATGAGGAGGAGGCGGCCACAGTGACTAAAACCTGATCATACAAGTTATCTTTCTTATTGCTGTGATCAGTGTTATTATTACACGTATCGTCTGCTCAAGCCCAACTTATGGCCTCTGTTGTATTGTTCAAGATTTAAGTCATGGAAAATCATTAGTTTGTCATGGGAAAATTTTTAGTTTTCTGTGAGTACCATGATGTGTGGCCATACCTGTGTTAGCCATGTCATTATGGTGAGGTGAAATTTAAAAATTTTGTCATTAGTATTTTTCATAACCCAAGCCTGTCTAGAATAAATTCAAAATACTGTACCTGCATATCCAACTCGCTTGAGATCGACAACACAACTGGGGTAGCAAGAGAAGGGATCAAGGTCACACGCATGCCACTCACACTCATTACAGTGTTGCCTCCTGTTGAGCCACACAGAGAGTTCATGAACTTAATTGTCAGACCTCATACATGCAGTACAGTACAGTAGTAATTTTATACCTGTAAAGAGAAATCAGATGAGATTTGAAACAAAGTGAAAAAGATGAAACTCTAAGCCAACAACTAAAGAATTACAGTGCCTTAGTAATACATGAACACTCATTATATAATTGGAGATATGTTCTATATGAAAAAATTTCCACACTCGACCTCTAATGAGTTTTAGTGTCCTCCTAAATTCCTCTTTGTTTACATGATGCAGACAATACAGTCACAGATGCCTTGATGACACTGATTCAAGGATCATGGTGAGTGTGTTCTGTATTAGTTATTTGATGTTGATTTTATTTTGCTTTCACGGTTTCCTCAAACATAAACCTAAGTGCTAGAACTGAGTTTAACAATGCTAAAGAGACAATGTAAAGTGATAAGTGTAAACACTAATGATGGAATTCTGTGAAAAGTGGACCAAGGACAGTCTGTGAAGAACTGAAAATTCTATAGCACTGATTTCAATGTGGGCTGGCTTCAATTGCTTAAAAAGCAGTACCTTAAAGCCACTGGAGAAAAAAAATGAAAACACAGAAGTGCAAAGCCTCTAAACACACCTTGGCAGACTGGAGAAATTGAGTCAGGTGTGCCTGTACTGTAGTTGGTAAACTTTCTCAGGTCCAAGATGTGGAACTGTGACCCCTGGGGTTTCGAGGTGTTACAGGGATCTAGGTGGAATGGAGTAGGACTCTGCATTATTGTGAGGTTCTTGATCAGGTTGAAATAGAACTTTTCTGGGACTTTGTCTGTAATGGAGATGGAGAAAATTTTTATTTCTCTTAAATTCTCATAGTTGATGCCAATTGTAAGAACTGACTTAGTGCAACATTTACCTGTTAAAACACATCAATATAAATATCAGGTTGCTTAGATATTTGAACCTATTGGAGTAATTATTGTTTTCTAAGCTGTTCATGTTCCAAAGGTCTGAAAGGATCTTAGAGCAATCATGACCTTGATAAATGAATGAGCTTTTTCATAATACGTAATTATTTTAGATGGCTGTGACCCCTCAAATGTTCTGCACTTTAAGGATGTGATCTACATCTGTTGTGGTGAAGGATGTTTCTTGGCAGGTTTGTTCTCACAGAATTGGGGAAGTTTAATCTTTATTTGAATAAGGAATACATCAAGTTCATTGACCATCATTTAGGCAAAATAGCAGCTGAGAAGATCTTCATGGAAATGTCTGGATTAATACAAGATTCAATCCATAAAGTAATCCTTTCCATCATCTATTTTGATAATTGACCGACTAAACCACCTTGGGATGCAGTGCATCAGGATACTCAGCTTTATAATGTGTATACAGGAATACCTCGCTATTAGCAACCCCAATGCTGTACAGTAATCATAACCCCGCTAATCTGCAATTGATATTTTAACACGCCTATTCAGTATTCGCAAAAATACCTCGCTTATTCACAAATGAAAAATTACGATACTTTACAGTAATATTTCAAACTGGACGAGATAGTCGCAGCTTTCATATTCTGATGTAAGGCCAGCTTCACCCCTACTGGGCCAACCTTTGAGTTGTGTCGTTATTTTTCAACTCATATTTTTGAGTAGATGTGTGTATTTTTATTCAATTTCTTTTACTCTGTTACATGCACACAGAATTGTTCATACAGAATGTGCAAAAAATAAAAAATAATATGATTAACAGAAGGTCAAAAACATAAGAGATAATGAAACAAATCTTACAACCACTGGAGTTACCCGGATTGTGTGAGGTGTGAGTGGTGGTGGAGATCTTGGCTGCTTCAGTTTCCCACGCCTAGCGAAACTATTGCCAACCGACAGTGCAGTATTTTTTTTTTCTCCTCGCATTTACTGAGACTACAGTATACAAGTGACCCTGGTCCCTAATAGCCTTGGATAATGAGGAGTATATATTGAAAAATGTGGTGAAAGTTGCCAGCTGGGAACCCCCTCTTACATAAATTATGGGAAAATGCCCCAATATTTAGTTTTATTAATCTCCCTGACTTTTAGGAACACATCCCTTGAATTAACTGGGGTATTCCTTTACTTCTCTGGGCTGATTTTTGAGCAAACAGGTTGTAGTCTAGGCTATTTAATGAGGATTATAGGTGTTTGGGTTCTCATGGAATTAGGAAGAGTTGGTTGGCTTCTTACCTGGTACTGTATAGGCAACGTTTTCCTTACTATCCGAGTTATTAGGTTAGGTTTAACCAGTCTCTTAAAGCTCAGATGGGATACAGTTGCTCCTTTTCCATAGAGTACCCCTCACTGTGAGCTGGGCTGAGGACTTATGCTTGGCCCAGAAAATTTAATATGGCTGATGATGGGCACTGCCAGGAGAGGCTGTGTAAGGTGCTGTAGTACCTCATCACCCCTCATCTGTCAGGGGCAGCTGTGGTTTCTTATATCCTTTATAAAAGCTAGAGTTGTAATTTCATATGCTTCTTGTAGCCAGTGTGGTTATAAAACGAGATTTCTTGGTTTAATCAATCATTGATCACTACCCACGTATGATATGCATCCTTTCTCTGTAAAGACTATTATGGTACGTATACAAATTTACCATGTTATCTAGAGAGTACTAATTATACAGTAGAATCTCTCCAGTTATTGGACTGATATTTCACAAAATGATGTAGTTCTCATTAATTTCCTTATAATCCAACAAAGTTCTGCTATAACGCGATAATTGTGTTCTTGTAAAATATCATCGCGTAATAGAAATAACAGGGCTTATGGAGAAAATAGGGTTAGGTGCAGATTACTATCGAAAAAATTTAGTAGTTAGCCTAACACAAAGGATAGCACAGTCTAAATAAATGTTACATTCATATCTAATAATGAAATCATACAGTAAATTTAACACTTTACCTTGAAAAAATATGAATGTAACTTGATGGGGAGAAGGGTGATTTTGAGGTTGATAACATCAAGCTTCTCTTCAAGTGTTATATCCTTTCTTTTACGATAATCACCGGGAATTCTATCATCAGAATGCTTTTTGGAGATATTCTTCTTTACCATATTCACAGTTAATACCACAAAATTGGAGAAATAGTAAGCAAAAATCGCGTTATAGCAAACAAGCGATCGCGTTATACAAATATTGTTCCGAATTCATAAATCGCGTTAGAGCAAATTCGCGTTATCAAAACACGCGTTATAGCAGAACTCACTGTAGTTTTATGTTTGTCATAAAATGCAATAATCTGGATTTATAAAATAAAATAAACATAATAAGAAAAACATTGGTGACATATTTTACAAACAAAATAGCAAAAAAATAAGAAGTTATTTTTAATACATGTGGATGAGAACTATTTGCTAAGCCAAAGACACTTTATTTTTATAAGAGGCACTGGGAAAACACTTCAGGATATAGACTTCTACTTTAGTTTGGGTTTACATTCCTTTTACACTTGCCCTAACCTTTACTGAGGAGTGCAGCATTTGAACAGCTATAGTGCTCACCTCCTGTGCTAAGGGTTGCCGATTCAGTCCTGGGGTACTCCAAGTCCACCCAGCTGCAAATGTGCCTAACTTTACAAGTTGGGGAAGTGAAGGCGGTTGAGTGCTATACCAGTCACTCTCCCTCCCTGTGCACTGAAGGCTCAATATATATTTAATTTGGGCTTCTCGCATCAATGGTGCCTTTTATGTTCGTGATAATTTGTATTTATGGTCTTTGGGTCCAAACAGAAGTACAGTTTTGTATGTACAGTGCTTGATACATTTGGTTTGTGGTCCCAAGGTCCATTGCACTCAAATTATAAGTTACTTGTTAGCTCACAAAATTCTCAAGTATGCATCAGTGTCAGTCCCAAAGGTGTGCAAAGAAGAGAGCTTCTTAACAGTTCATTTGCCATGACATATCCAAGTTACATCCTTTTAATTGTATCTCTCATGTGCAAATACTATTATAGTATACACATTTAACATATTACTGTACTTCGAGATTAAAAAAAAATATTAAGATTTTATTATAATTTATTTGGCATCAGAATTCCAAGATATAACTTATCATATGTACTGTTATCATGAAGGTCGGAGTAGCACACCTGCTCACCATGGAGCAAGTGGTGCAGGTCATCACAGTGATGCAGGGGCTGTCTTGGGTCACCATGCAGATGAAACCGACGACTCCATGGAGGATCTCACTCTCCATTCACCACTAAATGATTCCAAACATGTCCCAGAAGTCCATGATTTGCATGATCTTCATGAGGTATGAAAACTTTTTATTTACTGTAATACTACTGATTTCTACTTATATTTTTTAACATTGACACATGGCAATAAACTGTACTTTTTATGGCCCACCACAAATACAGAATGGGCATACAACTTTAACCTTGTCCACCCATCCATACATATACCTGTATGTCTGTATTTACAGCAAGTTCATTTTTCTCAAACTTTCCTGGGCGAACTGTAATTAAACTTTACAGAACAGGGGTCTTGATAAACACTAAAGCTAAACATAAAAAGTAGTCAACTCTTGACTACTATTTAGCTCATAATTAAGTAAAGTACTGTAGTTAACATTTCTGGTCAATAAGCACAGTAGGGCACCAATGTGTTATGGACTCAATTTTCTAATTATTTTATGATCTGTGGAACCTCATGAGTATATATATTATAGTGATATTGGTCATTTTTATTCTTTCAACTTTTATACTGTAGTTGTTTATTCATGCTTTAAAAATACTTTGTAACTTTGTTTTCTTTCATCAGATATTATAGTATTCATGGATAATATCTGTTTCTGTTAGTATGTGCATGTTGTGCTTAATATCTATGGGAATAATTCATTAATACATTACTGTACTGAATATGATCCTTCTGATTCTAATACAGTATTCAGAAACACTGTACAGTATTGTACTCATAGATGTTTTAAATATGTGAATTCTTTATTATCCCATTTCAGGCATCAAATGAAAGTCATAACATAGTGCGAAGAGCATCTAAAGATCAGGCATTTAGTATCTATGAATGCCGTCGTTCTGAGCTCATGGGCCAACTTGTGGATAATGCGTCTCCTTTCCTCTTCCCATGTACTATTGAGTACTCTCTACTCTGTGCTGGTGAGTTTTATGACAATATGTTGATGACTTTTGCTTTAATCATAATACAGTATTAGGATGTATCAATACCAACTGCCTGAGTAGCTAATAAGCTGTTACAGTATTAGCTACTCAGGCAGTTGGTCCATCCAGTGTTAGTAGTGAATGCTTTACCTGATCTTGATTTATACAGATACTAATTTCACTCCCCAGGTGTCCTGTATGTGGTGTGGAAGAACATCAACAAGCCTGAAGTAACTTTTGATGGGGATTCAGATATTTCCACCTATGTAGCCCGGAAGGCTCGTCATCATTATTCTGTGGACTGTGCACATGCTAATCGTGGCCTGTTTATGGGTATCCTTGTCCTCGTTCTCACCATCATCTCCCTTATTTTATTTTTCGTCCTTATAAACAATGAAGATTATAAGGCTCTAGCAGTTTTAGAAGCTAACATCATCGAGCTTTCGGTATATGGGTAAGAGCCTCTGACTCATATTTTTTGTATAGTACAATATTTTACACTGTTTGTGTTGCTGGAGTTTAATGCATTTCCTTTTCATGTATTTAAACAAAGGATAATGGAGTATTGCTTATGAAATCTCATTTACTCCCTCAAAATGTATGAAGATGTGACACAAAATTTTCAAAAAATTTCTGTATAGCACATGTGTAGCTGTATGGGCATTGAGAGTAGTGGTGAAGTTTTGCTTAGAGGTAGGCTGAGATGGTTCAGGCATGTAGAGAGAATGGAAGAGACCAATTGGGTCAAGATGTACATGTGTTTGAATGTGGAGAGCAGGAGAGCCAAGAGTAAGCCATGAATGACCTGGGAAAAGGTTGTAAGAAATGGCATCAGAGCTAAAGTCCTGATGAGAGGCTGCAAGAGACTGCCTAGCATGGAGAGCTGCCATCACTTTATTGTGGCTAACCCACAGAATCATAGAAATTGGACATTAGATGATAGGTGTACATACAGTACTTTATGGCATATAAGGACACACCCATCATTTCAGCAGGATTTTTTTTTCTCCTGCAGCCATAGTTTTCTTAAAATAATATATTGTATATACAGTACCAGTAAATGAGGGATGAATAAAAATAATACCAATAAATAAGTAAAAAAATGCTGTACTGTATTGCGATTTCTTTGCTGGACAACAAAATTTTTCAATATAGTTTCACTACACATGGGAGACAGTTCAGAACAGCTGAGATCCTTCACTTTCCCCCTCCTCTTAACACACAAAGAAAGTTTATTCCCTTTTCTTTTTGATCTTATGATAATTATTTCTCTTATTTTTTGTACATTCTGTATGCAAGATTGAGAGTGCATGTAACAAAAAAACCAAAAAATAATGACGTGTATTTACCAGAAACTACGAGTTGAAAAATAACCACAACATAGTTCACAGTTTGGTCTGGGGTGGTAAGGAGAGGGCTAGGGAGATATGGCTTTTGTGACAAGTCTTGTGTTACTATTACAAATACAAAACTAATATAAAATACTGAAAATCAAGTTAAAAAAAAGTAAGGAATATTGTTACAAATGTAAAGTAACGTCTTACATGTCAAGTCAAAAGTCTGAAACAAACTCACAACTCCCTGTACCTCCTTTCCCAGCATTCATAAACCATACCACCTACCTTTCTTATGTTAATTAACAGTTGTGCTACTCCAAACATTTGTATGCAATCTAGATGAAAAAAAATGCCTAGGTGGCCCTTGGGCCAGCAATCCTCGTTACAAGAGGGGCAACCATTATTATTATTATTATTTTATATATATATATATATATATATATATATATATATATATATATATATATATATATATATATATATATATATATATATATATATATATATATATATATATATATATATATATATATTTGTTTTTCATCAGTGTTGCTACTGTCACAGTGGTGATAGGGATGATACAGATGCGAGAACTGGAATTTATACCAGAAGGGGACATTGAACTGGACAACATTCTTCTCCTTATTGCCCAAACTGGAGTATACATTTATACTTCTTTCACTGTCATTGGAGGACACTTTACTATGAGAGTAAGAGCCTAATTTACTTCTGTACAGTAATATACCTTATCTTATATTTGTTTTATACAGTGTAAGAATACCACAATGATAATACTATATATTTACTGAATTATGTGCTCATATTGGATAAACCAATACACTGATTGTAATAGAGTTTATATTTTAATGAAAATAGTAATTGAAGATATTAGGTGAGTTATGATTTCTTACTCATGCATTTTCTTTTCATTGTAGGACCACATGGTTTTACCTCTGTTTTCTGCTATCATCACTCTCACCCAAACAACACTGCAGACCATTTTCATCTTGGATGCAACTAGACGATGTTGTTTCAGTCGTGATCAACTTGAACGTAAACCTGGCAGAGAAATGGTAAGGCACACATTGTGTGATATTGAGGAGTAGAGTTTAATAAGATAAGTAATTGTGAAGTAGTCTTTTTCATGGGGTCTTCATTGATATATTTGCTATAATATTTAGAATGCAAATCCATTGGAGGAGTAATGAATTAAATAGTGTAAATTTATATAAATACATATTCAGTGTCCTTGTAATGTGTATAGTCTCATGTATTTCTAAGCATATTGGAGACTGTATGTGTAAGGCTAAACCACTTATAAAAGAAACCGATACAAACCCAACCTAAAATGATTAAGATGAAGGTAAGGAGTTAAATTGTTTTCATAAATGGATTAATTCCATACTTTAACTCAATAATACAGACAAAACCAAAAGATTCACAGGAACATACTGTATAATAAATAGCTTTATAAATGTATCCATGTTCTATCTCAAAATTTATACAGTGATCCCTCGGTTAACGAGCGCCTCGGTTAGCGAGATTTCGATTAACGGTTTACCTTCCATAAGATTCTTAACTTCGGTTAACGAGCAATCCCTCGATTAACGAGTTTTTTACGAGCCGACTTCAACATGTTTTTGCTTGCATTTGGCGGTCCACCAGCTGTAGTATTAGTCAGCCAATACAGTAATCGGTTTTAGGGCTTAAATTCCTTACTATTTTAGTAAATATCAAGAAGTTTATACTATTCAATAATTTTAAAAGTTTAATATTAACTTTTTTAGTCATTTTAACAATTATTGAACATAATTGAAGGTAAAGAAACTAGTTTCTGGCGTGCCATCCAGCCTGTTAACACACCAGACAGGCGTTAGTCTCTCTGTTTTCAGTGGAGGTAACATCTTGCTTGAGACACTCTTCAACTAAATGCTTTTTTTCTGTGTTTCCAAGCAAATTATTGGTCATTTTGAAATATATTTTACATATTGACAATGTATAATGCAGTGCAGTGTTGATTTAAAGAAAATAATCTTGAATTACACCAAGAAAACTAAAATTTTATGGGTGAAATGGTGCCATGGGGTGACTTCTCTTCCACCCCAATGCCTTCTCTTCTCCCTTCTCCTCCACCCTCATTCTAATTCCCATCATCATCATCATCCAGGAGCTTTCTACATACACACCTCAAAGTAAGTGTACTTTTCTACCTTTTTTGTTGAATTTAGGCAATTTTCGGTGAGCTGGAACCAATTACCCAAAAACTCATTGAAACAATGGTTTCGGTTAACGAGTTTTTCGGTTAACGAGCAACCTGTTGGAACAGATTGTGCTCGTTAACCGAGGGACCACTGTATTCTAATGCATTAAAACAATGTCTATGAAGATCCCACCAAAAATTTTAAGAAACAAAGTTGGTGACCCTTTCCTTAACAGGTGAAGATGAAATGTTTTTATTAATACTGTATTCAGAAAGGGTATGGTTAAAAACAAAATAAATGTAATAAAAGGTAAAAAAGGAAAATAAGATAGGTTATTTTGCACATAATACTGAAAGAAATTTATCAGGAGGTGCACATGTACTTATGTACAGTATTAGAACTACATTTAAATGTATCATCATGGAAGTGTCAGTGTAGGTAGAAAGAAGAAAACAATAAAGTAATTCCAGTGTCAGCCAAATCGAAAATATATACAGTATATAACTCAAAATTTCCTTATATAACTTAGATTTCCATTGCATTATTGTTACTTGAGCAACTCTTGCAGATACGCAATAGTATGTTTGGATATTTAATATCTAGAGAAATATTCCTTCTTTACACCCTAATCTTCCTCTCCCTGACCTGCACCCTAACCTTCCTCTCCCTGACCTGCACCCTAACCTTCCTCTCCCTATTCTACACCCAAACCTTCCTCTCCCTGATCTACACCCTAACATCCCCCTTCCTTCATACAATGTTCTTTTCCCATCTACAACTTTCCCTTCCATTCTAGCACACAGCCCTTGCTCTTACAACCTTCGTTTTCATCTTCCACCCTCACCTCCCCTTCCTCTTCCCCTCAATATTCTTTTCACATTCTCCCATTCCACCCCTTTCCCTGTTATTTTTATCTCTCACACCCACTGACCATATCTTTCACTTCACCTCCAATTTCTTGTCAGGTGTACCTTAATATATTATCTGTATCTTCCCCTTAAGCTGTCTTGTCCTTTCTCTTAATCTTAAATTCCTTCTTCCTCTTCTCTAAACACCACCCAACCACTTTTTCTCTAATCTCTCTATTGTGTTCACCATACACCTTTCCATATACTATTCCATTCAACTTCTCCTCCTCTTTTATAAACTTTCCATCCTTTTGCTTTCCCCAAATCTTCTCTCTCCTTTTCTAAGATTTCCTACCATCTTCTTCCCTTTAACCATTACTATCCATTCCCCATAATCCTTTGCAGTGCTTGAAATGTAAAATTTGAAGTGAGGGTATGCATATACATCGAATGGTAGTGCTGTTTCGTTAATTTTTTTTAGCAAGGTGTATTATTTTTCTAACCTGTACATTGTAATGTATTGTGTTTTTATATATATTTGTGCCAAGTATTTCACACACAGTACATCTAATAAAAACAACACAAATATTCAAAACAAGATATATCTAAGCGGGAGGGTTACAGGGCGCCCTGGGTAGGCTTAACATAAAACACACACGCTATGCTAATGTAGTTTGCACATGTACACTACTCATGAGTCACACAACAACCACAGTACCCCCAGGTCGCGCTCCTCACAGATTCACTATCCATAGGCACACTCACCACAGGTCACAGTAGCCAAATGTAACACAACCCCCAAGTCACACTACCCATAAGCCACACATCACAGGTTACACTACCAATAGGTCACACTACTGATAATTATAAATATCAAGTATAGTACAGTACTGGTATATATCAGTACAGTATAGTCTGGATTTACGCGGTTTTTGTTAACGCGTTTGGTCATCTGTGCAGTGCCTTGCCAGAATGAAATGCTTTAATTACACAGTAAATTTGGTCATTTACGCGGGAAGTGGCGCAGGCAGGATGCGCACAAGGTCGCCCAGTCATCAAAACATTACCGAGTTCTTCACCCGCCACCCACCACAGCCGGCCCAAGTCAGTGATTGTGATAATGATAGTGAGGATATGGACTTTGAGGGATTTGACAAAAAGGCCCTGCAAGCCTCTGTGGTGGATAATGATACAATTGATACAAGTGATACAGGTGAGGGCCAATAATCTGCCCTCTGCCTCGGAACCAACCCCCCATCCCCGTGTGCCCAGCCATCTTTTCTACTAACATAAGTGTTAAAAAACCAAATATTATTGATATTTCTCTTAATTATTAATTGTGTGTGCATACTATCATAAAATTAAGATGTTATTTTGACTACAAGGTACGTATTGTGTCGGAAAAAGTGGAGTTTGGGGGTCGGTCCAGTCTCTATTTCAATTAATCCCATATGTTCTGTTATTTCATTTACGTTTTTCTAGTTTTACGCGGGCCTCCACGGGTTCAATAGACCGCGTAAATGCAGACTATATTGTATATTATTGCTCCAAAAGTTATCAAGCTGCAACCGTGATGTATAGTAATGTTCTCTATACTCACACACTGCAACGTTGTGCAAATTGGAGAAGTGGGGGTATGTGTACCCCCACATTACCCTCCATTTTGAGCACTGATACTTCGTCTCCCTAATACAGTAAGTCCTCGCTTAACGTTGTGGTTACGTTCCTGAAAACCGCGACGTTTAGCGAATCAATTTTTCCCAAAAGAAATACAGTAAATAAAATACGGGAGTTACGTTCCTGAGGCTCCCTTTGCCCCATGAAATACATTACATATACAAAAATTCAACGGCATTTTTATAGAAAATAGTATATACAGTACAGGGTATATAAAAAAACTGTATCATTTTGTATTGGTACTCACCGATGGGCAGAGGTGGTGGAGTGAGTGTGTGGTAGGTAGTGGAGCAGAGGAGGCGGATGGCAGGAGGGGAGGAGGATGGCGGGAGCAGAGGAAGAGGAGGGTGGTGAGTCACTGAGACTCGGCAGCTGCTTCCTCCTCCCGCTCTAACTGGGGTTCCTCCGCTGCTGTTTGCTCCTCCTCACTTGCAGGATGTTGTGATGATGTTGCTTCTGCCTTCCGGGTAATGGTCTTACGTTGCTTCTTCACAACACTAGCATCAGTAGCACTTGATGGGCACTTGAAAGCCAGAATGGTTAGAGTACAGTTTTTATAGCAAAAACACTTCAGCACACATGAATGATGTGGAAGCCTAACAGAGACTGGCGTGGCGTCGCTTGGGGATGCTGTTACGTTCTACGAGTGAGAGGTAGCGCGCCGAGAGAGCATAGCACGGCAAGATGAGAGAGGGTGATGCGCCGTAAAGAGTAGTCTGTGACGACGCAAAGGCTACATTAAATTGAGTCGTCGCAACATTAACCGAATTATTGGTATCTAAAGAGTAGCGACGTTGTTCCAAAACAACGTTAATCTGGGCGACGTTATATGAGGACTTACTGCACTTTAATTCTCCCCTCCATATTCCCCTTCTACATATTTTTTCCTGATCTTTTATTCCTTCTTTATGCTCCCTACCCACCCACCCACCCCTTCCTTACTTCTTCCCCTACTTCTCATTAAAATGAGACAGGTAGATTTACTTATCCTTATTTGTTTGTTTTTTTCAAAGTAACTTTCCTGCTTATGTGTAGCTTGACACATACCCTTCTTATTTTTTCAGGTAACTTTCCTGCTAGTGTGTAATTTGGCAATGTGGGCCATAAACACATTTGAGACGTCGCGTGCCGACGCTCATCCGACCCAGCTCAACTTTTATGGCATTTGGGCGTGGACCATTATCTCTCACGTGTCCATGCCTCTTGCCATATTTTATAGGTTCCACGTCACTGTTTGCCTGTGTGAGATATGGAAAAGGTCATATAAACTAAAGAATGAATTTTAATAACTATTTTGTTGTTGTAAATATTCAGTTACTTTTATTGTTGAATGACTACTGGAAATAATAAGAGTTTTGTATATACAGTACAGTACTGAAGACACAGTTATGAGAAAAGAATGATTACTAGTTTTATGAAGAAAGAATAATTACTAGAAATGTGATGCTGCTAAATACTCAATAAGATAAATCAATGTTGGAAACATAGAACTTTGGATATATTTCCAATCAAATTTATTATTACTTGAGACATAACTTTGTATATACTGTATTCACAGTTGTTGTAGTAAACCGACTTAGATTTTTTTACCTGTCTATAGGAAAGGATTGAATCAGTTCAAGTCTGTCATGTGATATTTTAAATGTAAACATTACATATTACTGATGAACCCAATATGTTGTAAGTGTAGATGTACTGTCAAATGATTATATTTTACTGCAAGTGATGGCATACTGAGAAATAATCTTGAATTATTTTAGATTTCTTCAGGGATTGTTTTTAACTTACCCTACTTACATTCACAAATTCCTATTTACAGTATGTACACATTCACCTGACAATCTATTGGTTAATTATTTTCTACACTGTAAATATACACTACTGTATTCACTAAAACCAGTATATAATGTGTGAAGTAATATTTTATTGAGTTTTAACCCAGAGTTCCTAATTTTACAGTTGAAGTAACACTTATTTATAATGTAACTTATACTTGTATTCTTCTTATCCAAAGAATCGAAATTATGAAGAAAAAAGAGTATTGATCGTGTAGACTATACGTTGTATTAAACTTTGAATACAGTTATTTCAATGGCTTACAAGCACAGTATCCGTTATGAAGAAATTTGTGTATTGATTAAACTAGAGGGAAGATTTTTGTGCCAAATGTTACTTGTACAGTACAGTGTTTTTGTTCTATGCAAATTAAAAAGTATTCTTAAATTCAGTATAATTATGCTAAGGCATTCATTATGAAGGACACATTTCTTTTAACTCCAGACATACATACTGTACTGTACACACCTTTCTTATTTCATTCTCCATAGGTGATGCTTTGGTGTACAGTACTTATAAAAATATTTACACAGTAATTTAGAGTTCTTCAGTGATTGCATTAGCATTACATTATATTGTCATTTAAGTGATCAGAAAAGTGACCGTTTTGCTTCTTGAAAACTAGGATCAGCCATTTGCAGTTTGCTCTTGTTTATCAAGACTGAAATAACCATCCTTGCATTCACCGAAGGAAGAAATAGGTGTACAGACCTGGGAATTTGCTTGCAAACAGTAGATCAATGTAAATAAATGTGGGATGAATTATAATACTGTTGGATCATTATAGTAAAATGCCTTTATTACAAAGCATAGACAATAACCACACACATTGGAAGACCATAATTATGATGGTATACCAAAATGTTAAAAGTTTCCTGGTTTGAGTGCCTAAATGTCTCGGTCAGACAGGGGCCTTAATTCTTGTAAATAATGTTGGAAAATGTTCATTATCACTCAGGTGGGTATATATTCTTGATAAGAAGCTGCCCAACAAATTTCACTTTTATCTGTAAAGCCTTTCTTAAGTTACTGAATAGAAACTCACATGTATAGATGGATAGACAGAGTAACACTGTATGGCTCAATGCAGTATTCTATTTGATCAGTCAGAGAACAGCATATTGAGAGTTTGACTGAATTTTATTCACTGTCAGTGGATGTGTTATAGCAATCACCATGTCTGTCTGCCTTTCTGTCCATAAACAATTTCATTTGTACTCTCTAACTTGAGTTCTTATTTGTGATGCAACACTCCCCAGGCTGTCCTATCACTGTACAGTATACCCGGTATCTCCTTTGTGGATCGCCTGAAGAATCTCCACCCCAGCGTATTTCACCTAAAGGTTAATCACCCTAATGCTATTTGGGAGAATGAGGTTAGGTTAAGTTAGCTTTAGGGTGGTTAATCTTTGGGTGAAAAGCTGGATTGAAGATCCTCTCTTTTTCCCTCATCCCCTTCCCCAGTTTCTCAGTGTATTGCTCCAACTTTCCCTCCTACAAAGTGAGGGGTCTCTATGTACCAAGCATACCTACTACATTGCCTTTATATATCCTCTTACATCCTTCTCACACATCAATATTATTTCACAGAATCTCACTTTCTCCATTCCACCACTTCACAATTCACTTCCAATCCAGTTCATTATTTCTAATTATTCCTTTCCATTTTTTAAATTCAGGCATAATAATTGCCATTTAACTCATTTTCATAGCTGGAGTACGTATTAGAGTATCTCCTTCATTGAAACCCATTTTTCACTGCCATATGTAATGGTAAGAAAGATTATAGTATCCCTCATTTCCTTCTTCACCACCATGCTTACATTCATTCCTTCCTTTAACAAAATTTCCCAGTTCTTCAAAAACCCTCATCCTATGTTTTGTTCTCACCCTGATTTCAGTTTCCATCATAAAAATGTACAACTTTATTTATTTATTTTTTCCATTCCATATAATTTAATAATTCCACTACATCAAGCACAATCCTATCAAATTCCATTGCCTCACGTTTCCTAGCATTTACCTTCAATTTCCATCTATTCCACATCCTGCTTTAGTCATTCACCACATTTTGTAGTCCTTGTATGCTAATTACACAAAGAACTATATCAGTTATGTAGTCAGGGTACCACCAGGAAATTCCCATCATCCAGCTCCAGCTTCACTCCTAACCAAGCCACCCTTGCCTATATTTCCATCATTTGTCCATCCACATCATATATATAGTATGTTGACCAAGCATGGGGACATCACACATTCCTGCATCAGTCCTGTTCCTACTCAAAACTTTCACAGAGTCTTCCACTTACTCTTGCACATTTAGTGTTATATAGGGTGTCCCACACATGAAGCCATAGAAATTGGCTATATATAGTATGTTGTTAGCATGGTTGAAAATGTGTCAGATTGCCACAAAATGTTTATTGTTCTATAGAAATTCAAATTACTTAGTGAAAAATGGTACAGGTATCCCTCGTTACACAAACATTCGTTCTGCCAATATTTGCAAATACAAATATTATATTATTGCACCATTTTCTCACTATATAAAACCCATGGTACCTTAAGGTAATGTACTAAATTTATAATTCATTAATTTCTTAATGTGCTTGTTGCTAAATTACAGTAATTAGGTACTAAATTACAGTAATTAGGTACTAAATTACAATATTTAGGTACTAAATTACAGTAGTTGGCTACTAATTTACAATACAGTGGTTAGGCAGGTTTTTTGTTTGAACCGATTTTTTTTTTCTTTTTTCTTTTTTTCTTTTTTAGGAATAAGTTTGGGGTTTTCTTGTAATTAGTTACTAAACTACAATAGTTAGGTACTAATTAACAATAATTGCAACCTGCACACCTTATTTCCTTGGGTGACCAAAAAATTCTAATTGGATGTCACTTAGAATATTTCTGGAGTCATTCATGGCAAGCAAAGAACAGTAATTATCATAAGCCTTTATTTGTACATATATTGAACAAATTTGTATGGTAAATTTTTAAACCATTACACTCAAATACAGTTTATATTAACCCTTTTGCACACAAGATAAGTTTCAAGTTTTCCAGTTCCAAGATCACATCTCTGAGGCCTCCAGAGCAGGTGAGACAGCGCACGATGAATATTTTTTCACTTTATCAACACCCACCCCCCTTATATATATATATATATATATATATATATATATATATATATATATATATATATATATATATATATATATATATATATATTGTACAGGATTGCTTTTTTTTTATTTAAGAATCCTATTATATTTTAGGACATGCAATAAACAGAAACTAAAAATCAGCAGGGATAAAGTCCAATTTCAGTATTCTAATGTGAATTATTAATGTGTGTCTAACTTACTTGTCTGTGGCACATCTAGTGGGGTTTTTTTTGTTTCAATCACACCATGTTACCCACTGTGGAAGAACGTGTTTCTCATCAATCATTACATAAAGATTGCATCCTTTTGGAAATGTCAAGGTCATTTTGTTGTTTTCCCGTTTATTGAATGTCCTAAAATATAGTAATCCTTTAGGGATCTTGCACAAAAAATTATCCTGTATAATGTATTTTTTAATTTTATGTAGCAATATAAGACCTTTACATAGCCACCTCCTCTAAATCCTTCCTGTCACTCATCTATCCTACATTCGGTTATTCTTGCCCAGTTAGTTTCAGCTTTACCATACACCTTCCCAGAATAATATTTGTATACTCTGCTTTAATACTTTTTGCATTTATCTAGTTACCACCAAAGAGTTTGACTAATCTGGTGTATTTTATATTTTTCCACATAATTTTACATACACTTAGCAGCAAGATTTTTTTTCCATGTTTCAACATTTCTGTCTTAATACCAAAAATAGTACTAAAAATAATAATTATAAAAACAACACTGATGATGATGATAATAATAATATTAATAAAGAACCATAAGAAATACAAAAATTTAAAAAAGATCATTAGTGAGAAACGATGTATGTATGTTGTGTTCTCAAACTAAGAGAAACAATTGAGACCCTGCAATTGTGAGTAAATGTGGCAGAAAGTCAGATCAGCAACCTGGGACTTGGTCACAATTTTCGTGAGGCCATATGGCAGCAGGGTCTACCATTGACAACACATTATGCTTCCAATATCTTCCCAGGCGGTAGTACCTCCCTGTTTGATAGCTGCCTACTACCTACTAATGCTGGCCAAGCTCACTGGTCTATAATTATTGGTGGAGGGACGATCACCCTTCTGGTATGTACTGTACCAGTATCATCCTTTCTAAACTGTGCCTCAGACCCAGCCTCTGAGTGATACTGCTCTTACAGAAACTTAACATTATCCCAAGTGCGATGAGCGTTTTTTCTCTCACAGTGGCTAACATTCAAGGTGTATTTATAAATAACTGCTATTGATATTTTCTAGGCCAATGGTGTTCTACAAACTTCTCTAAATGATGTGTAGACTGCCATTATCCCAATACTGTATATATAAACTCTTGTTCTTTCACGAAACCACGCAAAATCGCTAAGACAAAGGTAAGGCTAGGTTTGGTCAAATTTTGCTTGGTTTTTACTCCCCAATTTCCCTTTACTTCAAAGCCCTGTCCATTTTGTGCAATACAAACTTTTGGTAGGGGGGGGTATATCTTCATAACGGCTCATTTCCAACAAATCAGTCAGATTCAATTCAACCATGAAAAGCCTACTTTTATTGGTAATTTTTTTGGTTGATCTCTACCGATTTTTTTTACCTATGCCAATAACGAAAATATATAAACTAAAATGTCATAAACAGCGAGGGGCACCTCTAAAATAATCTGTAAAAAAATTAATGTGGGGGATCACACCATGGCAGGACTCTTATTACTTGCACATGTGATATAAATTTAATGTTCAACTGATCGAGTTCCATCATTTATAGGAAACTTTGGATTTTAATAAATTTCATATTTGGTGTAAATCATAGACCGTCTTACAAAACTTGGTTGTTTTTTTACAAGTAGACGGCCAACGAACTTAGGATATAATGATCCTCATAATTACCAATTCTTTAACACCTCAAATGTGTAAAAGTCTCAAGTTTTCATTAAATAGGTACATACAAATAAATTAGCTTCAACCCAGCCTAGATGTAGCTGAAAACAAAAGTTTTTTGGCTAACCCTCTTCGGATTTTTTTTTTATTATTCATTTAGCTAACGTCAAAGGTTAATATTTGAATTTCCGGATTCTGATTTCAACCAATCTGGATAAATATAAATTACCTCCAATAAAATCTGATACAGTACACAAATATTTAAGACCAAGCAAGGAACGGTCATTAATACCTACACCTCAACTGAAAATAAGCAGAACAGCACTGGCTACAAACATGGCGACTGGTAGAAGATATCTGCATTTTCTGGCCTGTCCAAAGTTTTAACTAAAACATGGCCGTTTCACAATACAGGTGCTCCCCGACTTACGACTGCTTGGACTTACGTCCATCGGTACTTACGACCTACTCTGACCTTACGACCGTAAGGACATACGACCGCGGCAGTTGTGACCAAAAGTATTTTCAAATGACGCGCGCATTTTCTATACCGAAACGTTTCTGTCCCGTGGAGAACGTGGCGGGCTTGGGTCGCCGCATGGGTACACTCACTCAGTGGAGCGCTTAGTTGGTGTTTGGCTATCGTATCCTATACTGATCGCGCTGTGAACTTTCGTTATTATCGTATTTAATTGACTTTATAATGACTGGAAAGCGTAAAAGTGAGAGTG